ATTGATGTGCTCTCAGGCATGTGCTTCAATCCACAAACAAATACAAAACAATCTGACCAGACGTACAACTGTTTCACAAACTCTATAAAGCATTCACACTCCAATGGATGCATCAGAAAGCAATTTGGGATTACGATCTTGTCCAAGGATATTTGGCTTGCAGACTGGAGCAGCCAGGGATCAAACCAGAAAACTTTCTGATCAAAAGCTGACTTGTGCTAAATCCTGAACGGCAGCCAGCCCATTTTAGCCATCCAAGATTAAATGACACATTCTTTAATTACAGAGTTAGGGATTGTTACGTGGAAATCAAAAGAAATGTTGAACCCATCTCGTGTCCTGTGTCTTCTGAAGCTGTCTGTACTTTTACCTCCAAAGTTCATCAGCAAACAGTTTGCAGGCCTGTAATTATCAGGCTGTACCTAAGCGCTTGAATTCAACCTAAAAGCTGTGCTGTCATATAGATCAGCGCTCCCCAACCCCCGGGCCTTGGACCGGTACCAGTCCGTGAGTCATTTGATACCAAAAGTTGAGGCTCAGGTGTGAAATGTATGGTTTCCTGGGTTTTTATCGGTTTTCAGCGTTATTTTGTTATTGTTTTTATCGTTAACTCGGTTTTCCTGGGTCTTTTCACGTGTGTTATGAATAAATCTTCTTTTTTTCGGTACCGGTACTAGTTTTATTTTGTTGTATTTATCCGCGACACCTTAAAGGCCGGTCCATGAAAATATTGTCGGGCATAAACCGGCCTGTGGCGCAAAAAAGGTTGGAGACCGCTGATATAGAACCAAGTACCCTCCGCGGAAATTATAGCTAATGTCACAATTGGATCTGATGAGACAGCTATGATTTCTGGACTCGAAGTAAATAATCCTGAATGAATTTATACAACATCAGTTTGTTTGTTTTGCTTTCATAACAAATAGTTTGAGCCATATACAAATACAGAAGTGACAAATGGAAACATATTTACAATCCAAAGTAGCGGTTTTCAGTAGCACAGTCTTTTATTTACAGTCTGCTTCTCCTGGTGGTAAACTTCTATCACATGTTTGGATTAAAACTTGGGCCTACATAGCTGCTGGTTCCAGCTTAAGCAATATTTTAAAAAATACTAAATTCTTCATTGATTTGAGCTGTGGGGTTTGCTATACACTGGCAGAAAATTGTAGAGTAAATGGTGAAAACAAAGAAACCAAATCACAAGATCCTTGAATTCCATCTTTTTCATTAACAGAAACTCCAACAAATTTGTGGCCAACTGTTGATGTTTAGGATATGAAAAGTCCAGTCCAGCAGGTGGCGGTAATGCGCCACCTTAACCGCCAAACAAATCCAAAAGCCGAAGAAGAAGCCGAGTTCCCGCTTTATGGCGTTTTTCTCTCAGTTTATTGTCAAGACTGATTTAAAGGTAAGCACCGAGTCTAGTTAATCTAGTTTAGCTCCTGAATGAGTCTTTCTGTTCTCTGTTCTCAGGTTTTGTACACCAGTTGAAAAAAAATCTGACTAAATTGACTCAAGCTGCTTTAAACGAATTCACAGAAAGATATCAGAAAAAGGTTATGAAACAATAAACAGAAGAAAATAATTTTATTAGAAGAAAGCTTTTAAATGAGCTCACTGTAATCAGAGTTTATGTTATTTTATTAGTCTGTTACTAAGCGCTACTTAGCATCTCTGTGGCACCTGCACAGTTTATGAACGTGCTATCTAAGCTAGCTAGCTAGCGCCACCCTTCATCCATCACTTCCGGCTCCAAAAGACCCAACATGATGGCGGTAAAAGTGCTATAATGAAATCCATTTATGAGAAATGTAAAAATAAATGTATTCCAGGCTAAAACACAGCTGCCTTTGTCTTATCAGCGCAAAGTTGTTTGGCCCACAGGGCATGTGACTGTAAAAACTGGCCTCACTCTGAGAGGCCTGTTATTAAAATCATTTCAAAGATGATTTGATAAATTCTGATCAGTATTCAGTAAATGAGCCTGATTAACTGTTAGCAAAATAATAATGATAGGCCAGAGATACCAGAGATGCATTTTTAAAACAAATACAACCTCGAACCCTAAGAGGGGATCTGTGTTCTAATTTTATCACATTTAAATGTACTGCAGATCTTTTAAAGCTCCAAACAAAACTGAAATGGAGGAACAAAGATATATAGAATAGAATAGTCTTTTATTGTCTTTGTACATTTCCAGCTAAATTGTGGGGGCTCCACACCAACTGTGCATGGAAAACAATATAAATAGTAAGACAGTAAGAATAAATAACATATAAGAGGAGTATATACAAAGAGGAGGAAGGCACACATTAGAGAACAGGTTGCAGAATTCTTGAAAGTAGTGCAATGGACTTGATACAAGTAGAGAATCGGAGTGTGACTGAGTGATGAGGGTTACTCAGATCATGGCTCAGATTTCTACACCCACTCAGATAGGATAATCTTCCACGGCACACCTAATCAGTTCTCACGGCACACGTATGTGTACTCGTTTATGCAGCTCCATCGATTGTTCTGTTTTCGTTCTTGGCCAGGGCCTTTTTTAAAGAGGAATTGCTCTCCTGGTACTGGTGTGCCATACTGCTGAATTTGGTATCAGTGCTCAGTTTATTTATTTATTTATTTAGGACAGTGCATGTTAATGAACATAAATGTAAAAAAAAAAAAATTACATGAATGTAAACATACCAGATTATAGCCAAGGGCTCAAACCTTTTGTCTTTGTTTAAAACAAGTTGCCCACCCAGGGAAGCTAAAATTTGTTGTTTGTACTCTCAGATGAACATATGAGACACTTTGAGTCTTCAGTGCAGTGTGGAGCCTAACAAAGTTCTGTTTTGTGTCCCAGCTGATCAGCAGGAGGAGAAGAGTCTGACAGAGCAGCAGAGGAACATTTGAGCTACTTGGACTCAGCTCAGCCACTGCAGAGAAAACAATGAGTTTGACAAAGAAGGTGACAGATACTAGTGTTAAGAAATACTCCATTAAAAGCTAAAGTACTGATATATGTTTTATGCTAAACTAACTGAACCCTGTGCTGTATTAATGCAATGTAAAAAAGATGTATACAATGCCTACATCTTAGACGGTGACGTGTGCCTCTAAACATCAAAACGAGCAGGGAAGAGGTTAAAGTGGGATTCAGCAGGATTCAACCCTAAAATCAGCTGTAGTGGCTCAGTGTGGGGAAAAGAATCACAGCTCACAATAATTTCTATTGAAAGCTCCAGTAGATTTTTTTAATGTGCAGGCTGTGATCAGCTGACCTGTTGGTCTCTGTGAATTCATCCAGATGTCAGCAGATGTTTCATGAGTTGTCCTGGCTGATTTCCATTCTCTGCACTGACAGTACACTGTCTTTATATTAGACACTAAACTGTTGGTATGTGGGTGGAGCTCAGTGAATGAATGTCAGCATCATGAGCTTAAGTTCAAGTTAATCTCTGCTACACTTAATGTAACCTAACTCTGACATGAGCACCACAGTCTCTGTGCACCAGTCACACACTGTTCATTACTTTAAATCCATCACAGTACAGTAAACTTACCTGCTTATCCTGCACTAACCTGCAGAGGATGTTACTGCAGTCTTTAAATCACATTGTGAGACAAACTGCACACAAACAGTTTGTGTGTTTGCTGATGTTTGTTGGGCTGATAGAATCGCTGCATATGAAATTACCTGCCACATTAAAAATATTACTCCATTTATTCTCGCTTGTCTTCTGTATTGCTAGCTAGATGTTGAAATAACGCGACCGCGACTTATTAGCACCTGCAGGTAGGGCTGTTCGATGTAACGATATATATCGGATGACGATATAAAAACATCTATCGTTTCATTTTACGCTATCGTTTGTTTCGTGGTGTCACAAAATAAACTGTTTACGGTAATATTTGTTCATGGTTTTGATGGTCACTGTAGTGGCTATATTCATTTCTTAAAGTTCTCTCTTTCTCTTATATTTAATATAACCACACTATGGACGGACAAGCGCCTGTTTTTATGAGTTGTTGTTAGCAACAATGATGGTAACAGCATCGCGTGTCCGCTTGTTTAAGTTCCACATAAACCTTTCACAATAAAGCTCAAGATCTTGTTGAGACTTTTCAAAATAAACGGAATCACGTGAAAGAGCAGATTATTTACGGATGAGAAGCAAAAAAGAGCCGTCAGGTGCTAAAAAATAAAGCTTAGACTCAAACGTTAGAACAGGCTTCTCCCCGCAGCACGCCGTGTAATAAATACTCACAAAGAAAACGGCGCCGTTACAACTTATGTCTAAAAATGTATCGTTTCACGCATCGGCTAAAACACTTGACTCCAGCTACATGACAGCTGGAAACACTTCACGCAAGTCGAGCTGCCCGAGATTCACAGAATTTACAGAAAATGTTACATTTTTGTGATTTATATCGTTATCGGGACGATAGATGTTTTATATCGGGAGATGAGATTTTGGTCATATCGCACAGCCCTACCTGCAGTCGTTCAGATTCTGTGCCAAAAAATACAAACGCTGGCCCATTTTAACCCCTGACTATGGCACACAGTTTTGCCTCTTTAATCTCTTATCGTTAGTACATGATCAGGATTGGATTTCATGTTATTGTTTAGGCTCAAATCGATTAGATCTTTGATGCCCGCAGTGATGAAATAACTCCCCTCAAATGAATTAAACCAAAAGTAACAGCCTGTTTTGAAAATGTAAGGAGTAGAAAATACTGATTTTTTTTATTTGTAGCAAGTAAAAGTAAAAAAAAAAAAACTCAGGTTACAGTCAGACTCTGACATCATCCTTCACTGAGTCAAGCTAGTAACTGTTACATTTGATTTATTATTACTGAATAAATTAGACAATTATAGAAATATATAATAGGAAACAGCAACAGGAAATATAAAAAAGTGCAGACCTGGTAAACATTTATTACTATTCTGAGTGTTAGCATTAATATTTGTGCACAAGTAGGAGAGATGGGCATGATTTTAGATTGTTTGAACAATGATTAATTATTTTTAACACCAGGTTGGATGTAATGTGTTACTACTACCAGTAGGTGGGGATAAGAGACCTTTAAGGTGTTTGGTGCCACACTCCACCTTCAGGTTTAAAACTAGTGTTAATGGAGGGAGTTTGAAGCCTCAGTTTGTTTAATGACTGCATTTCACTCACTGCCTCTGTTTGTATCTCTGTCACTGCAGGACCAACATGGACCGAGAAGTCAGCGCTCTCAGGAGGCCGACAAACCTCACAGAAGAAAGAGAGAGAAAAAAAACACCTGTGACGAGTGTGGGAAGGGTTTTACTGGGAAGTCTAAACTAAAACAACATCAGTTAATCCACACTGGAGAGAGACCGTTCAGCTGTGACTTGTGTGGAAAGTCGTTTTCCTGGAAGAAAGCCCTGAAAACACACCAAGTTGTCCACAGTGGAGTTAAAGCTTACAGCTGTGATCAGTGCGGCAGAGCTTTTACTCGAAGTAGCAGCTTACAGAGGCATCTAGTTACCCATTCTGGAAATAAGGCATACAGCTGTGACATCTGTGGAAAAACCTTCAGCCGGCTATGGAGCCGAAATATACACCTACGCATTCACTCCGGAGAAGATGTGTACTGGTGTGATCAGTGTGGCAAATACTTTACAACAGACGCACAGTTACAACACCACATGTTTACCCACACTGAGGAGAGACCTTATCAATGTGACCTGTGTGAGAAGACTTTTAAAACTCCACAGCACCTGAGACGACACCAACAGATCCACACCAGAAAGAGACTCTACAAGTGCAGCTACTGTGAGGTATGTATTTTTGTTTTTATCTTGTAAGTTCAGTCTGACGGTTTGGAACAAGTCTGCTCATTAAATTGTGTTAGCATGTTAGCACTTCTACTGCACCCAAGAGTAGCTCTGAGCCATTATTCAGATTTTCATTTCATTTAAGTGTAAGTCAGATGTTACTGTAATATTAAAGAAGTATTACTGTAGTATTATGGTGGTAGTATTGTAGTTATTGTAGCCCAGTAAACTGAGTGTGTTAATCGAAGCAGTAAAATTGGACGTCTGCAGAGATGCTCTTTATTTCAGGCGACGTTCAGGATAAAAGTGTTGAAGGACTGACTTACACTGTCTTTGTTTCTTTGTTTAATAGCAGAGCGACACAGATGGATCCACTTCTCAACCCTGTCATCACTGTGGTGGTGGGAAAGACTTTCGTTGTGACATCTGTGGAAAAACTTTCAGTGAGCAAGCCGACCTAAAAACACATCAACGTAAACACACTGGAGACAAACTGAAATACTGCAAAGAATGTGGGAGAAGCTTCCCCACATCAGGTGACTTAAAACGACACAAACTCTTTCACAGTGGGGTCAAAAAGCACCTCTGTGATCAGTGTGGGTCATCCTTCACCACGGCAAGTAACCTTAAAACACACAAACGAGTCCACACAGGAGAGAAACCATACAAGTGCAGACACTGTGACAGAAGCTTCTCATGTTCAGGTAGTCGTAGCAAGCATGAACGTGCACACATGGAAGGAAACTACAGCTGTGACCAGTGTGACAAGAGCTTCAGGAATCTCAGTTCATACTCTGCACACAAACGATCCCACGTTACTAATAAACTGTTTCACTGTTACCAATGTGCCCAAACATTCACTTCATTATCTGCTCTGTGCAAACATCAGCGCGATCACGCAGCGCTGAAATCGTTCCCATCACAGGACGACAGCGAATCTGAAGAGAGAGAAACATCCTCTTCTGGCGTCAGAGTCCAACTTAAAACCCTGGAGATCAGGCTCCACAGAGATCGGCTCTCCTTAACGTTCTAATGAGGCAATGAATCAAAATGTTCATGTAGTTCAATGTTAATCTTTATAAATTGTTCTTCTGCAGTGTTTGTGTTCAGTGGTTACCTTTTTTTTCAGTGGTTGGATGAAAAATCAGTTTCCTGTTCTTTCTGTTTTTATTGAATGTATTTTATTAAAGTTCTTAAATAAAGTTAAAAAAAATGTTAAATAAAGAATTGTTTGAACGACAAAGATTTTGAGCCATGATATCATTTCCTGTATTTCAGAGTAAAGGCCTAAGTGACAAATGGAAACATGTTTACAGTCATGGAATAAACACCGATGGGTCATTTGTAGGAAGTACTATTGCTGACCTGACAGACTCGACCTTGTTCACAAAGAAAGAAAGGAACTGATGACATGTGTCAGCAGAGGCTTTCAGGGTTGTTTAGAGTAGAGCTGATAGTCTTAAAGAACACGGGGATTATGACAATTTAACACAATGATCTGAGAAAAACATCTGTTTCTCTCATTTTCACTGTATTCTGATCTAATTTCCAACATTCTTTTAATATTTCAAAAGAAACCTGCAAATTGTCTTTCTCCCACTTCCACTGTGCTCTCCTACACTGACGCCTGACTGCTCGGGTGGATTCATTTAACCAGGGCTGAGGAACATGTTTTGGGCGCCTGGTTTTTAATGGGTTCACAGTGTTCAGGGTCTGAGTACAGGTTTCCTGGAACTGCAAAAGCAGCTCATCTGGGGTGGGCCCAATAAGTAATCTCAGGGTCGGTAAAGATTTTCTTTATAAAAGTGGAGGAGAAGAGAGCAGCGGCGGAGTGGAGCGCGAGCTTTAAACTCATGCACAAGAGAAACAGGTTTGTGATGAGAGAACACTGAATCCCCAATTTCCAAATAGAAAACAGATAAACCATATGATAACACCAGAGTGTGCTCCTGCTGATGTGTAGGGCCTTCAACGGACTTTAAAGGTAAAATGACTGAATACATTTAAAAACTCTTGAGCAAGCAGACCATCAGGGCAACAGACATGAATAATAAAATCACCAACTATTATAATCCAATCCTTTTTAGGCACAAATTCAGCCAAAAAACATGAAAAGTAATTTTAAAAAAATCTTTAATTTACTGCACAAACAACTGGTTGAGAGCGTCCCAGTTCAAATATGCCACACAAAAAATGCTGGGTTAAAAATGACCTAATTTGTAACCAAACGCTGGGTCAAATATGGACCGAGCCAACGTTGGGTTTTTTCAACTGAACAGGGTTTGGTTACTGGTTTGACCCAGCACACTGAGTTACGATAACTGTCCAGAAATTGTGTTAAATTGACCAAGCTGAGGTTACCAAAAATTGGGTCGAAACTTGAACCCATCACAAGGGTTATATTACAATTAACGTTTGGGTTAAAATGTCACAGCCAGGAGGGTCAGCAGGGCGCTGATCAGCTGTTTCTGCCTTTGTCTCTCTCTCTCGTTCTTTTTCTCGCTGAACCTCATTGCGGGTTCACGCCCTCAGCCTACGCCCCTCGGAGGAAGAAGGAGGGAATCTCCCTTTCAGATCATTTCATACACCTTTGTGAGCAACATTTCACGCTTCCATCAGAGCTAAATGAGCCCTCATTCATTTGATCATATTTGGTTCATGTCCTGGGATTCATGTATTCCTGGGATAGATGCTAGAGAACCTGGGCGCATGACTTTGGGTAACTTGCATCAAAAACAAAAAACATGTTCCCAACAGTTCTTCATCAATCAGCCTATTAGTGCTTCCCAAATCTGCTTTTTGAAAAACTCCCAAAGGCACTTTTAAGAACCACGTCAGTCTTTTTTAAATATGTACTTACTGCTGCCCTTATTTGTTTGTCTCTCTGTTTCTGCCTCTCTATTGGTCTCTCTCTCTTTCTCTCTCTCTCTCTCTGTGTGTGTGTGTGTGTGTGTGTGTGTGTGTGTGTGTGGAGCATATCAGGATGGGGCTGGTTTGACACTAGGGGAGGAGGTGGAGCAGTGTCGTTCTGTCAAAGATTGCAATTACCACAAAACATTAGTCCAAAGCATGCGAGAAGGCCAAATCCTGCACTAGATTTGAAGTGTCTAACTATGATGAGAGAAAATGGTAACATTACGTTTCCTTTGTTTGCAGGACAGACATGCTAACTCTTATGGCCATGCACTGGAACCAACAAACGTTAGACAACCTGGCCACCTCCCTGACCCACCAATATCAGAAGGTAATGATATTGGTATTGTATTTTTAGATACTTACTCCTCTGTGTTCTAAATATTTGGAGTAAACATGTCTTTAATGCTTTGTTTTTTAATCCCAACTTTTTAATGTGGGCCACAAAAGCTCTTCTAAGCCAGCTTCAGTTGGCAGTGACTGACAGTCAACTGGATGACTGTGTCAGTGATGTGAAGCAGTGGGCAGAAGAGTTGAGCAAAAACAGGTTCAAAAATTTGATGCTGATTGCACAATGACTTTATGTTAAGTGCAACTATCTCATTTCTTCTAAGCAGCAACAACAAGCACACGTGAAGCACAAGCTTCAGCTGTCAACCTAAAATCACTTACGACTTCAGACGTTCTTTGTGAACTGATCTCTAACTTTGCTCTAAATGCATTTCAGTCTGTCAGCCTTAAAGAGAAAGGCATTCGATATCATCATGGCAGTAAGAAGACTCGAGGAGGAAAAGAAGATTGTTGTTAGAGAGATGGACCATCACTGGAAATCTCTTTCAACTTATGATGATACCCTGAAAGAGCCGTCCTGCCAGTGACATATTTAAAAGTATGTATTTAAGTTATGCATACATACAAAATTTCAGTCAGTTCATCTGCACATAATAATCGATCAAAGTCCAAATGCCACCATCTCTATACACTAAAGACAATTAATGTATTGGTCATTAAATTATAGCATATTTCCATAAATTATGTGGTTTAACGTATTTGTCATGACATCCTAAATTTTATACTACATAATAATAATAATGGAAACTTTAAGTCTCAACATAAAAAAGTACTACAATCTCAATGAACCTTAGATTTTTTTATTTTGACTTGCAGTAGCAGTACTCAGTATAATTACACCAGCCTTCATAGTTATAACTAAACAAAATACATGCTTCTAATGCCAACTTTATTTGAGAGAGTACAGGAAAGAGAGTGATGGGTTTATGGGCTCAGTTGCTGGTTTCAGATCATATTCATGGCAACATGACACTGACTATGTGAATTACAGCCTCCAGTACAGTCAAAGGGACCCGGTTAATGCAGTGATGCGAACCACTTTTCACATTTGACACTCACTTTTTACAGAATGTAGTGAAAAAACAAATGTTGTACAAAACATTAAAATCTTGAATTAAAACATTCAAGATAAGAATACAGAACTACTGTTGTAGGTAACAACATAACATAAAGGTTTTTGCATAACACAATGCATTTAAACAAGTATAAATATGTGTCTAACATTTCTAACCAATCAAACTGCTTAAAATGAACACAGTCAGTTCACCTGTCAGTGAACAGCAAAGACCAATGTGGTATCTGGATGTGTGGATCTTTGGTTCCACATATTTTTGACACTTTTCTCCATAGTACACAACTACAGTTTGCAGGCATTATATTTTACTTGTTTGCAGAAAAACAGTCAACACAACATCATGAAAAGACTTGCTCAGTGGCTGAAGGAGGTGGCACATCAGGCATGGCAAAGTGGGGGATGTAAAAAACCCTGAAATCTGCTGGCAGTTGGAGCGTTGGCAGACCGGACCGAGTTTCGATGCTTGAATCTTTTAGTCTTTATTTTTGGTCCCCACTATTTAAAACTGATTTTCCTCTCAGGCAAATTCGGTAGCTAACTTTTATAAACTACCCAGCGAGACTCTGTTGACATATTTGGCAGGTGTCGCAGACTATAGGTTAAACGGTTATCTGAAAGGTGGTAGTGCTGAGGGCTCAAGCTCGAGCAGATCTTTTCAAAACTACCAGGAGAGAATCTGCTGATATATTTGGCAGCTGTCGCATACTTCGGAAGAAAACACACTAAGTGGAGGCAACTCGTTTAGTGTACGAGTCAACGTTAACTAACAGTAACGTTATCATCACAAAACCATCATCTCAAAGGTGGTAGCTGAGGGGTCGAGATGACAGAAAAGCTGGAACAGATTCTGTCACAGCTGACACAGCCTGACATTGAAGTTATTCAGCAGGTATGATTAAAGTTAACGTTAGCATTACTTTGCCCGGCTACAAGGGAACTTTTTGACACGGCTGCTGTAAATACGCTAGCTGATGTTTGTTAAGTTTTGGTTAGCTAACTGTAATACCACTGGTACTGATATTTAAGACACTGGGTTCTCATATTAGCCGTTTACTGCCTGAATAGTTGGTACCTTAAATAAAATTCAGGCTTCGGTTCAGAGTCAAACATTTAGTAAACAATTAAACAAATAAAAGTAAACTGCAATAAATTACAGATAGTAATAAAATACACTACTAACTCTTTTACACTACGTCCACACCTACACAGGTATTTATGAAAACGAGGCTGTTTCTATGTGTTTAGGCCTTTCGTCCACACATAAATGTAGCGCGCGGCGGACACTAAAGCGGTCGCGCCAGAATGTCACGCTAAAAAGAAAGATTCTTTAAAATACAAGGGGGAGCAAGCGAGTCAGATACCACGGGCACAGAGAGGAAGCAGGTCTGATCAGAAACAGTTTATTACTAGGCCAGGGAGCACAAATAAAAACACCCTTAAAATGTATGTAATAAAATGTTTGCTCTCTACTAAAAACAATCCTAAAACCCGTAAAACTACCATTTTCTACATTCACTAAAACCCCCCCTGCTATAATTATGCCACATGTTCATTATGGGTCCATCAGCAGGCCAGGAATTCCTCCTTTAGAGCAGAGTCCACGCCAGCCCCGTCTTCAGCAGACAAGAAAGAGCCACCCATCTTCTTGTCCTTCCGCCGGCCCATCACTTCCCAGCCCGGCTTGCGTTCTGCACCCAAATCCATGATGC